GTGCTTACCTTGAATGTTGCTTCCTAGCTCCGGTTCAGCTCCCTCAGCCTGCTAGCACAGATCTTTCATCTGACTCACATAGCCTTTCTAGCTTCCACCACTGACCCTTGGGCCTTTCCCACACAGATTCAAGAAGTGGACCTGCATGAGACTTTGTTGTGGGCTCTAGGCCTCCAGTTGGGCTTGCGGGAGGCCTTGTTATGACCTCCAGGTTTTCAGCTGGACTCATGCAGGATAGTAGGATCCAGGCCCTCAGTTAGAGTCTTCAGTGTTTATGTGTGTGGATAGATCTCCTGCACTCTTGTATATGATTCTTGGGTGATTCATTATAAAATACTACTATAAAACATGCCCTGTATTATATAGTTTCCATTTCAAAATCCCCAAACCACTATACCCATGGCTCATTGACTGAAGCTCCAATAATTTGTCCAGGGAAGCATTCCTCATGGGTTGGGGTTGGGTTTGAACTGGATTTCGTGCATTTTACCTCAGCAAGGACACTAAAACATCAGAAGAGAGGTAGTGCTCTAACTCTATCCTATGGTGCCATGTAGTTTCTTACCCAGAAGGTCCTTTCTATGGGACCACAGGTGCTTTACCTTCCCTTCATCCAAACATGCTTAACCAGAATTTCATCATTTCAGACACCTCTTCAGATTTTTGCTTTTTTATCTCAGAAGCCAGAGATGACCTTGACAATCTGGTACTAAAGTCAAATCACTGCTGGGCCAGGCAATGGTGATCATTGTGATAGGTGGCTGGATATGAGATACCAGGGATCACCGATGTCTGGGTGTCTCAATTTCCTGTCACTAGGACATAGTACTGAGCCCACAACTTAAAGGAGGAGAGGTTTAATTTAGCCCACAGTTTCAGAAGAGTCAGTCCAGGGCTCTAAGGAGAAGCATCATGGTAGAAGGGTGCAGCACAGGACAGCTGCTTAGTTCACAGGGGCCAGGAGCAGAGCAGAGCAACAGTGCCAGCCAGGAAGCGGGGAGGGAACACACACAATACTCCAGGCCAGGTGTCGTGATTCCTCCAGACACTCCCAGGAGCATCCTCTGTTGATCTGCTGGGTGCTTTTTAACCCAAGGAAGTTGATCTATCAGGATTAAAAGTCATATGGAGAAAATCCATTCTAAAATTATTCCAGTGAAATTTAGTTTTTAAAAAGATTTGTAAAGACAAATTAGCTCATGGAGTACTTGTAACATTTGGTCTAGTTCAACTTCTACAGAGTGCATGAGACAATGCCATTTACCCGTGGCCATGGGACTGCTGTAGTCAAAGCCGTTGCGTTATAGCTCGGTGGCTTAAGCACCTGCCTAGCAAGTGCAAGGTCCTGAGTTCGATCCCTGGTACCAAAAAAGATCTACTTCTGTGCTATGAGCTCAGTGATTTTGTACTTTGAGGTCTAATTTATGTTACTGTGGTAATGCTAGTGAAATCTTCATGCTATTCTTAGAAAGCCGAGAGTCATGACAGACACCTGTGCACTATGTTGCTGCTTGCTCCAAGTCATGTACGTAGGTTGTGTCTCTTGCGTCACTTGTTTCCCAAGGAGAACACATCCCGTTCACTTCTAGGTGTGGGAGGCTTGCACATCACCAGCCACTCCCCCTTCCCCAGGTCTCAGCCTTTTCCCTGGCCCAGCAACCGACCTGGAAATGGGCACACAATCAATGTTATCTTGCTGTTTTCTTCCACTCTGTGTAGGGGTGGGGAGGCATCGTACACTTGATTTGAATTCCTTGACCTTTGCAAACAAATGTCTGCTTCTTATTTTGTGCATCGTGGGGGGAATGTGAAAGCCCATGTGATGGGGGGAGAACATGGAGGACTCAGAAGTTGCCCCCAGGCTCTGGCTGGGTGGTGTTCATGCTATAAGGCCCTACTTGTGCAGACAGAGTAGTTGACCACAAGTGTGGCTTGTGCCACATGCAGATTTGAGAGGCTGACTGTTTTCCCACTTGGATGTGGGAGGGGATGGTGGAGTCAGGGTGACACAAGTACTGATATGAGAATAAAGTGAGAAAATGCAGCCCGCTCAGCTATGGGGGACATTTGTAGGACTCGGAGTTCAGGGAAGCAACATGCAGCTCCAGGCACAAAGCCTGGCCTGAGGACCTCAAATGACATGGAGCACAAGTGTGCTGTCCCCTGAAGTGCTGTCATTGGCTGCTTCCATGCTGCAGGCTTGGGGCTGAGCCCTGAGTCTCCATGTTTTCTTTTCTTTTCTTTTTTTTTTTTTTCGGAACCGGGGATTGAACTCAGATCCTTGCGTTTGCTGGTCAAGCGCTTATCCTACTGAGCCATCTCCCCAGCCCCTCCATGTTTTCATCTCTAAAATGTGCATTACGATTGATTAAGGGGCCATGGTGGGGATTGAACCCAGTGATATGCTACATCCCTGGTACCTGACAACCTTGTTATAAAATGATTTCATCTTGAGACAGGGCCTGACGAAGTCATTAAGTCACTCAGGTTGGGCTTGAATTTGCAATGCTCCTGCCTCAGCTTCCCAGGGAGCTGAGATTAAAGGCATGAGCCACTCAGCTGATAATTGGACCTTCTTACAGGGCTGTCATGAGAACCAGAGCAGACAGCCTGGCACACGCAGGGACTCGACTGTGAGCTCCCTTTCTTCCCTGCACCACAGTGTCCTGGCCCTGCATGAAGGCCCTCTGAGGTCTCATCTCTCTCCAGGGCTCTGTAGCAGGCCAGGCCAATGCCAGTTGTCTAGATGGCCAGAGATGGCTGACATTTGCCAAGTGGAGCCCCAGCCTTGGACTTGCCAGAGTACAGTGACTTCCGTCGTGTGGCACAGCGAGACCCTATCATTCCTATCCAACAGACCAGGTAGTGCAGATCTGGAGAGTAACTGCTTGGAACAGAACTGAGAACCTGAGTTGCCCTGACTCCAGTGGCCACAGGCTGGGACCAAGGGACACAGGCAGGGATGGAAGGGTCTGCTGAAGGCCCCGAAGGCAGACAAGAAATCTAATCCCTCACATTGGAGTGGGAAGGGAGCTTGTGGATTACAAACAGGACCAATGTGTCACTGACCAGCGTGGAGCCTGAGGTCCCACAGGGCACAAGGACTTACCGCAGGGGAGCTGGTGGCAGAGTAGTGATTGCCATTGAGACCCTGGGGTCTTTCTTGGCTCTCCTCATCCTGTGCCAGCCCAGCCCCTCGCTGCAGGCCCATGATTGCCTTTCTGCAAGTGCCCTGTCCTCCCTCCCTCCTCACCTTTGACAGGTGGATACTTCTATTTCACTAGCCCTTGCTTCATCTGACCAATTCTTATTTATCCTTCAAGGCATTTTCTATGTGCCACTACCTCAGAGAAGTTTCTTAAGATCCCCTAAATGCACTGGGTACTTTCTCTGGGCTACTGGAGCCCCTGCTGTTTTCCTTATAGATAATGATCTGTTTTTGCCAGGAGGACCTGAGCTCCATCAGTGTTTGTCAAATGAATACATGACTGAGTAAATGAAGAAATGATGCTTGTACGGACCTCACAGGGGCAGAAGGAGGGGGCTAGGCAAAGCAATCATACATTCACAGAATCTGGAACAATTCTCTGTTGCCTTCCACCCTAAGGCTCCTTCTGCATTCTTGCCTCTTTCCACCTTGGAAGGAGCGTAAAGGAAGAGAGCTGGGGCTGTTTCAGGTGTAAACTCTGCTGCAGACCCCGAGGAAGCCTCTCACAGTTCCTGGCCTTGCCCACGGGGTGAGCTGCCTGCTGTGATCTTACTATTGCTGGGGTTTCCTGGGAGCTTCTGCAGGGTTTGTGATCTGGCTATCTTGACTTCCATCCAAATTGTATCTGGAAGGCAGCAGCGCCCGTTTTCCCAGTGTGTCACTTAAACCCCTGGGATGATGTAGGAGAGGTGGACAGCTTGCCACCTGGGCCCCAGGCCAGGACAGTGACCCCAAGAGTAGCTCAGCTCCCCTAGGGATGGCGTCAGGGGTGGCAATGGACACACTGGGCCCCGGTCACAAGGTGTCTCTGCCATCTAGCAGCTGGGTGTTCTGGGCCCTTTCCAGGTCCTCTGTGTGACCCCATCTCTCCTCTGTCCAGGGAGGATGGATTGATGGTGCTGCTGTGGAGATCAGCGGAGATGGCATTTCTGACATTTGCAGAGCAGTGCCTCAGATATGACTGGCTTCCTCAAGGCATGGACAAAGGAGCTTTCCTGAGGAAGTAGCAGGTGAGAGCGAAGGTTAAGGACTGGGACAGCAGGACTGACTGGGTGGGCTTGCTCTGCCTGGGTCCCCACCCTTAGTAGGTCTACAGAGGCATGTTGGGCTGGCAGAGAGTATAACAGTGATGCTGGTGAGGGACTATGTAGGAGCTCTACTTCAAGAACACGATGAATGTACAAATTAAGTCTCCAAAGGAAGCATCTGGAGAAGCAGTGGCATTTCTGAGCACTAGAAGGAGTGAGGGTGGGAATGGCGCTTATTGCTCCAGGTACACCACACAAATTTAATCCTCATGACAATCATTTTTAACAGAAGAGTCAAGTGACCCAGAGAGGTGGAAAACTCCTCCAAGCAGGAAGGTTAGCAGTTTACAGAAACCTGACTTGGGAGACCTTGATTTTCACAGTTGCATTAGGCTAACAGTTGCAAGTCAGGGCTGAGGAAATTGGAGCTATAAAGAAGCAAAGAACAACCAAATAAAACACTAGCACCCACAAAAGTATCTTAAGGGAGATGCTGAGAAAATATAGGGGCCCTTTTATCTCAGGGAAACGCAATCCCAGAACACTGAAGAAGGGCACTCCACTCCTGGCCTCAGTTTCCCCATCTGGACTATGGGGAGGAGATATCCAAGTGCGCCCTTTCATGCATGGGGCCCTGTGCAGCCCCTTAGCGGCCAGCTGCAGAGCCCGGAGGATGGGCTGTGGCAGGATTCAGGGCCTGGGTAGAGATATGCAGCTCTTCTCCAGCAAAGCCTTCCTCCCAACACAGAGGGAAACCAGAGATACTGTTCACGCTCCTCAGAGCTCAACTCTGTTGGATGCTAGGAGGCTGCATGGCTGGGGAGGCCCATCAAAGGCAAACTTGGAGGAGATGCTTAGCCGGGGGAAATCCCATCCTGGTGGCCAGGGTGCCGTGGCTCCTTGGGGAGGTACAGAGCACAGCTGAGATCCAGGTCCGCAACTGTGACAGTTGTCTCAGAACACAAGCGGGACAAGGACCAGAGAGTCTGGGCTGGATGATTCCCCTCTCTTCCTGTCTTGTTACTTTTCTCTTGGTGCTAAGACAAAATACCTGATGTCCCAAACAAAGGAGGGAAAGGTTTTTCTAGCTCACAGTGTGGAGGTTTCAGTCCATAATCGGCTGGCTCCAAGACAAGGTGGTGTGGCTGAGGATAGCCATTCAAGGCAGCAGAGGACAGTCAAAGCAGCAAGAGCAAAAGGGGGTGTTGCAAGCAAGCCTTTTTTCCACCCTTATGTAGTAAGCAAG